CCTTCTGTGGACCTTGGACTTTGATTTTTCTCCCAGGAATCATGGATTCTGATTTTCCAAGATTGGCAATTGAGTAAAGCACCTCCTGGGCTCCCTTACCAACCTGCATTGTTTTATGGTCTTGTAGTTTCTTTTAATGTCTTGTTACCTCTTTGTTGCTTTTAGGAAGCTTTTGTTTTGTTTGACTAAGTACTTCATTTCACCTTTCACATTTTTTCCTATAGAAGAATTGATCTGAGTAACTAGCTTACTTTTCTTGAAATAAGAAGGCTTATGATTAGTTTTTTTAAATAATTTTTTTACTGTGGTAAAATACACAAAGTGTAAAATTTACAATTTTAACCACTTTAAAGTGTGCAATTCAGTGACATTAAATACATTCACAGTGTTGTGCAACCATGACACCATACATTTCCAGAACTTTTTCCTCATCCCAAATGGGCCAATCTCTGTGCCTATTAAATATTAACTCCCCATTCCTCCTTTCCCCCATCCCTGGTAACTCTATTCCAGTTTCTGTCTCTATGAATTTGCCTACTCTAGGTACTTCATGTAAGTAGAATTGTATAATATTTGTCCTTTTGTGTTTGGCTTATTTTAGCATAATGTCCTTAAGTATCATCTATATTGCATGAGGTGTGAGAGTTTTATTCCTTTTTGCGGCTGAGTATTCCATTGTGTGTATACATCACATTTTATCTGTTCATCTGTTTAATGGACACTTGGGTTGTTTACACCTTTTGGCTGTTTTGAATAATGCTGCTGTGAACATTGTTGTACAAGTACTTGAGTCCCTGTTTTCATTCCTTTTGGGTATATACCTAGGAGTGGATGCTGAGTCATGTGGTAAGTCTCTGTTTAACTTTCTGAGGATCTGCCGAACATTTCCACAGCAGCTGCACCAGGGTTACAGTTTCTCCATGTCCTCGCCTACACTTGTTATTTTCCCTTTTTAAAACATACGTAACAGTCATCCTAATGGATGTGAAGTGATATTTGTGATTAGTTTTTTAAAGTCTCCTATTAGTGATTTTTATCTTCTTGATCTTTTAAACAATTATGTAAAAATCCCATGATGGTGGATTTGAAAATTTCTCCCTGTAGTTCTGTCAGTTTTTTCTTTATATTTGAGTTTATTTTATAAGTTACATCCAAATTTAAAATCGCAGTGAAATATTCTGGTAGACTTAAATTGCAGTGAATTGAACCACTGAGCATTATATAATGACCCTGTGTTGTGCTTTTTGTCTTAATATTCTCTTGTCTGATATTAATATTCCTATGCTATCTTTCTTTTGGTTAGTATTTGCAAGGTGGATGCTTTTTTCCTTTACTTAATGTATCTTTCATGTTCTTCCTTTATACTTAGCCTTATGAAATAAACATTTCCATGCTAAACGATTTTAATTTTTAAAGTTTATAATACTCTTGATTTAATTACTGTGTCATAATTTGTGTAACCAGTCCACCATCTTGGAGTATTTTGATAGTCTTCATTTTTTTCTTTTGTTTGCTCTTGAATGAGATCATGTATATCTTGTGTATATAGCTTTTTGTTGTTGGATACTTTCTTTTTTTTTTTTTGATACATTCATTTGGATGAACTCTTAGAAGTAGAATTATTGGATTTCTTGGGTATACACATTATTTTTTGGCCTTTGATACTGCCATATTGCTTTTCAAAGGAGTTGTACCTACTTAAAATGTCACCAGCACTGTTAAATGTCTGCTAGACACCACTTATCATATGATACACCATTAATTCATGAATTTCTAAGAAAGAAAAAACTTTTTCAGTTAAACTGACACAGTATTTCCTTATTTAGAATTTTTATTTCATGCCTATTAGAAGATACCTTTTAGGTGTGGGTACGCATAGCTTTTTATCATATCACTGTTGAATATACATTAAAAGGGAAAAAGCCAATTAAAATGGTTAAGGTGTTTCTAAAGCTTCACATTTAGTGTCCACTTCTATGTTATTTCTTGACTCAAAGTACTTTTAATATTTTTCCACATTATACATCAAGAATGTTGGTGATAGCAGAAAACTTAATAACCTGATTTTAAAATGGGCTAAGGACTGGAATAGACATTTCCTCAAAGAAGAAATACAGATGGCCAACAGGTTTATGAGTAGATGTTGGGTTATCTAATTATCAGGGAAATGCAAATCAGAACCACAGTGAGATAACACCTTATGCCTGTTAGGATGACTGTTACCAAAAATCAAAAGACTAGGATTGGTGAGGATGTGGGGAAATTGGAACCCTTGTACATTTTTGGTGGGCATGCAAAATGGTGCAGCTGCTGTGGAAAACAGTATGGAATTTCCTCAAAAATTTTAAAAATAGAACTACTGTTATAATCCTGTAATCCTACTTCTGGATATATATCCAAAGGAAATGAAAACAGGATATTAAAGAGATGTCTGCACTCACATGTTCATCGCAGCACTTACTCATAATAGCTAAGCTGTGGAAACAACCTAAAAGTCCATCAGTGGAGGAATGGATAAAGAAAATATAGTATACACATACAATGGAATATTATTCAGCCTTAGAAAAAGAGAACTGCAAAATGCCACAACATGGGTGAACCTTGAGGAGATTATGCTAAGTGAAATAAGCCAGTCACGAAGAAATAGTGCATGATTCCACTTATATGAGCATCTAAAGTAGATTTATTAGAAGCACAGAGTAGAATGGTGGTTGCCAGATGGGAAGTTGTTGATCAACAGGTCTAAAGTTTCAGTTATGCAAAATGAACAAGTTTTAGCCATCTGCCATACAACATTGTGCCTGTAGTTAACAATACCGTATTGTACTCCTGAATTTAAGAGGGGAGATCTCATGTTATGTGTTCTTACCATAAAAAAAAAAGAAAAAAAAATATATTGGTGAGGGAATTCCTTGGCGGTCCAGTGGTTAGGACTCGGCGCTTCCACTTCAGGCGGTGCAGGTTCAGTCCCTGGTTGGGAGAACTAAGATCCTGCAAGTCCTGTGGCATGGCAAAAAATAAAATATTGGTGATAAAGTGCTTCTAATGAGTGTCTGGTCAATAACAGTTACATGATGCTCTTGATTGTACAGTGCATGTTGATTTCAGTTATATTAAAATGTGAAAGATTCCATCCTAGAATCACTAAAATATGGTGATTTCACTATAGTGTCATTGGGTATCATTATTTAATGTTTTTCCCTATCCCAGTGAGGTATAAAGTGTCATCCATATGAATTTTAACTTGCATTTTTATTAATGAAGTTGAATATTTTTCAGTATTTGTAGGAGTATTATTTTAGTAACTGTTAAGATCTTTAGTATTGAAACTAAAGGTTAGATGTTTCTGATTGTATTCAAGTTTACAGAGTTTTTCCTCAAAGAGAGACCGCTTAATGTGGATATTACTTGATTTTTTTTTTTTTTTTAATGTAGTTAGTTTAAGAAATACTCTCTGGAACTGGCATTTATGACAGGTGTGAAGCTGTTATTCATGAACTTGTACGTTAGAATCACCAAGGAGCCTGCTGAAATGTAGCTTCTGGCCCTGTTGCAGAGTGATTTAGTGTGGAATGAGGCGCAGGAAACTATTCTTAACAAACTCCCCCAGGTGATTACCATGCTGTGGACCATGCTGAGAGGCTGTGGGAGGTTGAGGTGTAGTTACAGCTACAGATTTTCTGAGAACCTCTTTGGTAATACTGGCTGAAGAATTACAGGAGTAGAATACATGACTAGAAGGCCATGGAAACTTGTTAATAAACTGCTTTTAATGTTAAGAAGTGAAGAATTTCAATTATTAACTGTGAAGGGTCCAGCATGTCTAGGTTTTTGAGAAGAATTACATGGTAAGTCAGGATTGTTGAATGTCACATATAGTTCCATCTAATGTAACAATGTGAAAAAAGAAAAATGAGATTTTTGTTAAGGTAATTCTTTTATATTGGTAATTGCTTCATTTCAAGGTTTTCTCAGAACCTGTGATGTCTAGAGTAAACAGCTTAGGCTAAAACAAGGTTTGATTACTTAAGCAGAACGTAAGTTCCAGGAAGGAAATGGTGCTCATTCTTCTATTTGCAGACTCTAAAACAGTGCTTGGTGCGTGGTGGGCATTCAGTAATATTCGAATGTATGAATATGCAGAACAGTTTACATATCAAGTACTCTTCAGGGAGTAGGAGTTTGCTTTGAATCACTTAAAATTGCCTATAGGAAGTGGTTGCAGTGGGTCTTATCAATACATAGACTTTTTATTAATCCTGCTATGGATTTTTTTTTTTTGCCCGCGGCCCGCGGCATGTGGGATCTTAATTCCCCGACCAGGGATGGAACCCCCCCCACCCGCTGCAGTGGAAGCTCGGGGTCTTAACCACTGGACAACCAGGGAAGGTACCCCCTGCTATGGATTTTTAATTGAGGTTCATTTATTATGGAGATTGTGGGAATAATCATTATATCATTTAGATTCTTCTTATGTAAATTACATTTTAAATTTATAATTGGTAGTATGAATAAAGCTCTTGAATTAAAAACATCACTGTTTTCCTTTTAGGAGTTAATGGAGCAGTTTCATCAAGTTGAATCTCAGCTAAATAAGCTAAATCATCTTCTTACTGATATTCTTGCTGATGTGAAGACAAAAAGAAAAATTTTGGCATCTAATAAACTGCATCAAATGGAAAGAGAATTATATGTATATTTTTTTAAAGATGAAGATTATCTGAAAGATATTGTGGAGAATTTAGAAAACCGGTCAAAGATTAAGGCTGTTGGTCTGGAAGATTGAAAATGAAATCTTTACTGCATGTGCTGTATTTTAATATTTTATATATTAGGAGGAGAATATAGCTAATAAACACTGAAAATTTTAAATTCGAGGTCAATGGAACATTTCATTTAATGAATTCAAGTATTATATCAATTTGGTTTATTATATGTTTGTTCGAAGTCCCAGTGCTTTTTATGACTTGAACATTTGCTTGGTGGCACTTAGTCCTGGTAACTTTTAAGTTACAGGGAAAAAGCATTATTATATAATGCAGATATTTTTTACAGAGTTAATTGTATCTCATTTTTGTTTTTTTTTAGAGATAGAAATTTCTGCTGTTAAATATTTTAAAAATTTGTAGGACTTTGAATCAGCATTGTTAAAGCTGTAGACCTTAATAAATGGAATAGTTAAGTTCCCTCATATTTGTCTATGAAGTAAAATTCTGCCACTCAAACTGTATTCACCCATAATTCCCTGCTGTAGACTTCGAGACTTAAATTTTAATGTTCCTGCTTGTACCACAAAGAATGTCAAGTCTCCATTGGCCTTTGCTCATTTTAGCGGTTGGGTCCTAGGGATTCAACATATCTGCAGGACAGATCTCAGCAGTGCTTTGACTTCAGTCTGACTTACATATAATGAATGTCTTTCAAAATGAAATTTCAAAATTCCATGGAAGTGGTTGCTCAGATGATGTATAACACTATTTTAATCAATTTCTTAGGAGTGAAAATATCTAAGTGTTGGATTCTATTGGTTGGGATACAAGTGTAGTATTTGGACAATTAGAAATTATTTTAAGAGTTGAGGTAAAATAATTTGAAGTAGCTTATTTATCAGTTATTACATCAAATGATTCTTGAGTGCCTAGTTTATATGTGACCTCTGTTACATACAAAGTAAGCTTTATGGAGAAAAGAGAAGATTTAGACACTACTTGCAAGAAATATTACTGCTCCAAAAATGTATTACCTGCTTGTAATGTGGAATGCCTGTCTAAAAACTTCACATTTTAGGGGATGTTTATGGAGTTTTTTAGCTATAACCATCAGAAAATGGGTATGCTCAGATGACATATGGGCCTTGACAATTTTGAATTTGCTAATTATTGTATTTGTACATTTTTCAAATTTTGTATTTGTTAAGTAGGTCTTAATATGCTTGAAAAATTTGTAGCAATAAGTTTTGCCTAAGATTTTGTTACTAACTCCTCACAGGTGACCTTTGTTTGTTCCTGTTTTTCCCTCTGCCCTACCTTGGAATTGAGAATTTACTTGAAATTTTCCTCCTCTCCAGTAATGTGGGAAAATGTCACCTGGTTTTCTGGTTCATGAAACAGCAAATTCTGTTTAGATTAGTGCCAAGTACATTAGATGTATTACCAGCTACTCGATGATTTGTACTGTCCCTTCTAGACCTTCACCTGCTCAGCCCAGGGGACCAGTACAGCCCAGCAGTGCAAGTGAAAGGATGTTAGGTTATGTGTCTGTCATAATAACCCAAGTCAGTTAAAAATAATTTTTATGTTACTAGATCTGTATGTTTGAAGACTATAATAGCCATTTGTTTCAAACCTCAGGAAGTAGGAAATATTTGAGTAGATTGCTTGCTTCAAGATTGGAGATACGTTCTTTACTTTGTTGTCTATTTACCATAATACCCAGTTGAGCCTCTAAATGTTTAACTTTCTTCTTACTATCTTATCTGTATTATGGGGACAATTAATACCTATTTCCTGTAGTGGTGAATATAGTAATTTTTATGAATGTCTATGTAAAAATTTTTACATGACTTGTTTCTTATTTTGAAGTCTCAAAATTAATATATGGGTATTATGTTTATCTTATGTTTAGGATTTTATGAAAATGGAAGGTTACGAGGCATTTGTAGGCTTTGACCTCTGTAAGATACCACTCTCCAGTGTTGCTCAGAAGATTATGTCTGCTATGCATTCAGGTGGTTTAGTGGAGTCTAAGAATTGGACAGAGAGTGAAAAGAGTGAGTAATTTTTATGAACCTTCATATTTTTTGTTACCTTGAGTCTTAATTATTCTTAAGGCTAAGTTTTGAGAATCATTGACCTTAAAAATGAAAGAGTTATTTTACCAGCAAAAGTGGGTTTACTCGAGAATAGCAGAGAATTGCAATTTGGGACAAGCATGCTATACAAAGGCCAAAGGCAAGTCTAACAAAGGAGAGGAACATTATTTTATAGAGAGAAAGGTGGATGTTGGCAGGGGTTGTTTTGAATCAAAGTCCATTGGAGAAAAGTGAGAGTTCAAAGTGCTGGTGGTTTCCGGCTGAGTTGCTGAGGAAGTGGATTTCTTGTAGGAGATGCCCTGTACGTCTTTTCCTGTGGGGACCTGTAATTGATGATTCTTTCCTGTTGATTCTTCCTCCTGCTGACTTTGAGTGGTACTGCATGAGAGCTCCCCCTTCTGGCCTGCCAACTCCATTTTAGTGAGCCTTCTCCTTATTCATTTTCACAAAACGAAATGTAGCAGAGTTTTTCTATAGAACTTTTTATTGTGTAGGGAAGTTCCTGCCTACAAGCAGTCCAGCTTCCCCTTGTTTTACTCTCATTCAGTGATGACTGAGCTGCTGCTCACTAAATTTTATATTCTCTTAGCCCTTACTGCTTTGAAAATGTGACACTCTCTTCGTTGTTTCAGGCATTTCTGCCAAACGTTCCCTTAGAATCTGGTTCAGCTGTTTAAGGAACTTCACAAGAGGCGGGCTCTTTCATAGTGCCCATTTCTAAACCCTTAGCTCTCAGGTCATTGAACCTGTATTTGCTTATTTGTGGTGGACAAGAGAAGTGTTCTTGACAGTATGTGTATTATACCGCCGTAGAATTGTATAAACTGTTACATGACAGATCAGTGGATCTGTGTACATATGTTTATGACATATGATATAATAGTAAAAGCAGTGACATAATGCTCACAAGTGTGACTGAAATGGTTGGAATACCAGGTGTGGTTTTTTTGTTTTTTTTTTTACTAGCAAAGCAGTTTTTATTTTAAATTGTAAGTCTGGACCAATAATATGTTTTTCTCTTCTACAGAGTAGGTTATAAGTGAGTGAGATATAATTAATTATATTGAGATGAAATAATTGAGAAGTATTAACACATAGTGCAAAAGCTGTTATAAATGCAGTTTGTCGATTAAGATACAGTAACGCTTAACGTTTCAGTCTATTCATATTCAGGCATCTGTTGCCCTTGTTATGGAAGTCAATAATGAAGAGTAAGAATTTTGGGGTATGGGCTACATACCTAGCAATTGATAGTGTTTTAGGGGGAATGTTGGTGCTGGGGGAAGTAGTAAAGAAAGTTAACATCAAACAACAAAGAGCCGGGACTTCCCTAGTGGCACAGTGGTGAAGAATCTGCCTGCCAATACAGGGGACATGGGTTCGATCCCTGGTCTGGGAAGATCCCACATGCCGCAGAGCAACTAAGCCCATGTTCCACAACTGCTGAGCACACGTGCCACAACTGCTGAAGCCCACGTGCCTAGAGCTTGTGCTTTGCAACAAGAGAAGCCACTGCAATGAGAAGCCTGCGCGCCGCAACGAAGAGTAGCCCCTGCTCGCCACAACTAGAGAAAGCCCGCGTGCAGCAACGAAGACCCAACACAGCCAAAAATAAGTAAATAAATTAATTTAAAAAAAATCAAAGAGCCTTCTCCTTTATTCTGTATACTTGCTTTCCAAAAGAAAAGAGCAGTGTGCACTTGACAGAGTTCAAAATATACTTACCTTCAAAAACTGATAAAATAGGGGCTTCCCTGGTGGTGCAGTGGTTGAGTGTCCGCCTGCCGATGCAGGGGACACGGGTTCGCGCCCCGGTCCGGGAAGATCCCACATGCCGCGGAGCGGCTGGGCCCGTGAGCCATGGCCGCTGAGCCTGCGCGTCCGGAGCCTGTGCTCCTCAACGGGAGAGGCCACAACAGTGAGAGGCCCGCGTACCGCAAAAAAAAAACTGATAAAATAATAAAATGCCTCTTGAAGGAGTAATGTGAGTCTCTGTTGAGAAAAATTAATGGCAGTCAGCCCCTGTCATGAGCTGTCTTGTCATGCTCTTAAAATACCCTGTTAAAATCCTAATTTTCATAAATTTATTGAGAAGATAAGGTATTTTCTGTCAAGTGTTCTTGGATTTTCACAAAGATTATATTTGTTCCTGTGTCACACTCTTACTGTGAACTTAGTTAAAACAACACACATTTGTTACCTCATAGTTGCTGTGGGTCAGGAGCCTGGGCACAGCTTAGCTGGGTCCTCTGCAGGGCTGCAGTGCAGGTGCCAGTCAGGGCTGGGGTCTCATCTGAGGCTCGAAATGGGAAGCATTTGCTTGTAAGCTCACACGGTTGTGGGCAGAGTTCAGCCCCTTGTAGGCTCTTGGACTGAGGGTCTCGGTTCTTGGTGATGGTTGGCTAGAAGCCACCCTCAGTTCGTTTCCACGTGATTCTCTCCATAAGCAGCTTTACATTATTGCAGCCTTTTCAAAGCCGGCAAGAGTGTCCCTGGCAAGGCTGACATTACATTCCTATGTAAGGTAATCACATTGTCACCGTTGCTGTATTCTTTTGGTTAGAAGTAAGTCCCACCCACACTCAAGGGGTTACACAAGGGCATGAATACTAGAAGGCAGGGGATGTGGGACCACCTTAGAGTCTGTCTGCCACACAGTCCCACCAGTTTTATTCTTATTTCATATAAATCTGAGTTAAAGTTGGATTGCTCATGGGTTGTTGGTGAAAGAATGATGCTGAACCTGAATTGACTCCCGGACTCTTGTCACATGCTGAGCTGTTATGTCAAATCCTTCTCTCTTATAAATAAAATCGTAAATCAGCATTTCGTTTCTAAAAGCCCATTTCATACCAGATAAATAGCGAAATTGAACTCAGAAATCAATGGAAATAAACGACAAATATTTGCTTTTACAAAAATGTATTAAGTAAAACCAAACAATGTTATATGTCATTTGGGGATCTAATTTTCTGATCTGCTAGACTGACTGAGGTATACACACCCAGTAAGAATTGGACAGTGTGTATCTTCTTGCAGCAAGGTTGGTCTTTATTTAAAAACCCTTTGCTGTGAAAAAAAGATGGAAAAACTTAAAATACAGCTTAATGAATTAATATAAAGAGGACACCATGTAACTACCTCGTGCATTGCCAATATCTCAAAATTTCCTTCTCAATACTCTTCTGCTCAAAGGTAACCGTTATGCGGACTTTTATGGCAGCCACTTCCCACTTCCTAATCATATGAGGGAGTTTTACATCGCTCCAAAGGCCTTTCTGGCAGAGATTACTTGTCCACCACGCCGGAGTCCATCCATCCTCCTCGGAGGCATGCCAGCAGATGACGTGGCTCAGTGTCCTTGCAGCCAGGTGTGGCCAAGTGGCAGGTTCCTGTCAGCAGGGTGTGCTGTTGCCAGGGCAGTCCCGAAGACACCTGACTTGCTTCCCAGCTGGCCTTTTTCCTTCCATCCAGTTGGAATCTGGAACGACTCCTTTCCAACCTGCAAATGAAAACAGTGTCCTAGAGGACTGTGGACCAACGTGCTGGAGGGACCCCGGGTCCAGAGTGACTTCATGAAAAGGCTGCTCCACCAGCTGAGACCACTCACCTCAGAACAAGAGAGAAATAAACTTCTGTGGTTTAAACTATTGTATGGGTGGGTCTTTTGTGACTGTGGCTTAGCTTTTTACCTTAACTCTTACACCTTTAAACTAGATTCAGAATTGGGTTCGTCTGACTTGAATTTACATTGTCTTTTTTTTTTGCGGTACGCAGGCCTCTCACTGTTGTGGCCTCTCCCATTGCGGAGCACAGGCTCCGGACGCGCAGGCTCAGCGGCCATGGCTCACGGGCCCAGCCGCTCCGCGGCATGTGGGATCTTCCCGGACCGGGGCACGAACCCGTGTCCCCTGCGTCGGCAGGCGGACTCTCTCAACCACTGTGCCACCAGGGAAGCCCTACATTTTCATTTTAGTGTTTAGTAATGCCACTGAAAGTCTTTGGGAAATACTGGGGGAGGAAGATTTTTCAGGGTGATTTCAAGGTTGTCAGCTGGCCTGGTGCTATGTATAACATGCATTTGATTAAACACGTGTTTATTAGACTACATCTCCGTATTTTGCCTAAGTACCTATAGAAATCAAATAACGTTTTCTAGTACACATTTATCCAAAATTGTTTTTAACTTAATAGAGCTTAGGGGTGAATATGGTTTTTTTCTAGTAAAATAAGAATAGTTTTATAGACATTACATATTTTTCTTTAAAGGACTATTTTATTTTATTTATTTATTTACTTTTTGGCTGCGTTGGGTCTTCATTGCCACACGTGGACTTTCTCTGGTTGTGGCGAGCAGGGGCTTCTCGTTGTGGAGCATGGGCTCTAGACACACGGGCTTCAGTAGTTGTGGCATGTGGGCTCAGTAGTTGTGGCCCGTGGGCTCTAGAGCGCAGGCTCAGTAGTTGTGGTGCACGGGCTTAGGTGCTTCATGGAATGTGGGATCTTCCCAGACCAGGGCTTGAACCCGTGTCCCCTGCATTGGCAGGCGGATTCTTAACCACTGCGCCACCAGGGAAGCCCAGACATTACAAATTAGTTCAGGTGTGAGACTCCTCAAGGTAAATATTTGTCAAAATCCAATTCATTAATGTGAAGTGTGTCTAGTCCCACCATCTAGTGGAAATCTTTGCAATTTCAAGGACAGATAACATAAAGCTAAATGACAAAATAGATTTATTTTGATTATATTCATTCTGTTTAAGAATAATGTGGATAAACATTTTTATTTCTATCAAATAAACATAAAATCCTTCTGTCCAGTCACTTAGCAAACCCTGCCAGGTGTTGGATTCCAATTCCCACGGCTCTAATTCAAGCCTTCGTTCCTTCTCACTTGAAAATTTGCAGAAGTTTCCTAATTGCTGTTTGCCATCAATTTATTGCCACTTTGCTCCTGC